AATATATATATATATATATATATATATGCTTATTAATATCTTATGTAGTTTTGAAAAGAATATTTTTTTAAAAAAGTATTTTTTTAAAAAAGAACAAATAATTTAGGAGAGTAACTGAATACTTTTATACTAAAATAACTTATTTTTTATGTGTTTTTCAACAAATAATACTTTTAAAAAATAAATTTTTTATCATAACTACATAAGATATTAATTTTTAACACAATTTTTTAAAATGTTATTGCTTATTAATAAGACTAATTTAGTAAGATGAATCTCTAATACAATACAATTCAAATAAATTTAAAGAAAAAAAAACAGGAAATGAGAAAAAAGAGGAAACAGAAAAACAAGAAGAAAAATAAGAGGAGAAGAAAAATCAAGCGTAGGCTCTACAAGTTCAAATCTAATAATAATAAAGTACTTTATCATACAATTAATATAAGTTGTGTCTCATCCATAATAAAAAAATTTCAATACTATAGTATGTACTATCATTTTGCTTTATATTGATGGGACTTTGGTCTAGATATATTTGAGTTTTGTAATGTCAAAGTACCAGAAGTCAGTTAAATATTTTTATGTGTATGGAAAGTCTAAAGTAAAACGATGCTTAACAAAATAATTTTTATCATCTCCAATAGGATACGAACACAAAAATATGTGGAAGGATGACATGCACAAATGAAAAAATAACCACCGCTATTTGTCTACTATCACTATAAAAAAATATTATTTTTCACTAAAAAATGTTTAACGGTTATTTCTGCAAATATTTTAATTTAATCAGTGATGAAAAAAAGTGTTGTCATACAAAAAAAATTAGAAAGCTTTTTAATATTTTAATAAAAAAATTTATTTTCCGTCATTTAATAACACAAATTATTTATTGATTCACGATTAAAAAAAACTTATGTTTGTAATTATATGCTTACAATTTTAATTAATGCTTACATACATATAGAGTTTAGTACGTGCTCCGGCTCCTGTGAAGAAGGAAAGTTGAGATAAAAAGGAGAAAGTGGTCTAAATGTTAAATAAATTTGAGAAAAATAATGGCAACTTTTATGCATAGTAAATACAAAATTTAAATTTGTATGTTATAGCAAAGTTTGTATAATTGTGCTATATGGCAAACATATGTATAATTCACTATACATATACAACTGAAAGTTATGCCTATTTTACTATATAATTGGACAGGAAATATAAAATTGAATCGAATTGTATAAAATGAGAAAGAGAGAAATTATATATAATTTGAATTTGTATAAAACGAAAAAGAGAGAAGACAAAAGAGACTTGGGCAAAGAAATATTTGTATTGTTATAAGTGTATAGAACAGAGATATATGTATTTTATATGTGTATAACAATTTTCTCTTACTTTATAGAAACATAAACACAATTTATATATTTCTATTGTATAAAGCGAGAGACGAGTGATCGGGAGCGAGCGAGAAAGAGAGGGTAAAGTATGAGGGAGAGAGACGACTGACAAACAATTTGCTATGAAACACAAATAATCAAATAATAACTATTATATTTATTTTTACATCATTAATTTATCATTCTATACAATTATCCCAAAAATAAAATATTTTTATTAACATCAATCAAATGAATCAATAACCAATTAGTAGATGGAAAACCACAGCCTTAAAGTTCCAAAAACTCATTAATTAATTAATTAAAGCTCAGTACACCCCTAATAGATAATTTGTAAAACATAAAATGTCTTCCTATCCCTCTACCGTTTATTAGGCCACTAATGCTATATTATTGATGTGCGAACAAATTTTCATATAAAAATTGATAAAAAAAATAGATATAATGGATTTTTTTTCTAATGATAACAATTATATATTAGTATAATTTGATGAGTAAATTTAAAAAGTTTCAAATATTATATGCAGGACTTATTCCAATTTCGTAATAGAGAAAATCTTTTAAAATATATTAATTAATTCAAATGAATAAAATCACATTATCTTAAAAATGTTTATGGATTGGCTTAGCACAACACATTCCCCTCTAAAAAATTACAATCTCCACTCAAGAAATGACAAAATTTGTTTTAACTAGGACAAAAACTATTAATTCTACATGATTATGATTCTTTTAATTACTTCATTTTGAAATTAATAAAGAAAATATATATTTTAAATACAATTTATTTTTATAGTTAGACATTTTAAACAAAATTACAGTCAGAGAAAAAAATTCCCTCTCCCAATGATAACATTGCCGTATTAAGAGCATGTTTGATATTATGGTTAAAATCTAGCGTTTCTTAAAAATAGTTTTTTAGAAAAGTATTTTTTTAAAAATAATTTGTGTTTGATAAATTTATTTGAAAAATATTTTTAATAAATAATTTGTGTTTGGATAATTTTTTTTTAAAAAAAATGTTTTTGAGAGTCGAATCACGAAAAAGACAAATATCAATATGATTTCAATAATAAAATTATTTTATAGAGAAAGACTATTTTAAACATCTAAAAGAAAAATCTTTTTATTATTTGTTACCTATTTCTTCGGATTCAATCTTGGCCATTATTTTTTATTTTTTTGGGTCATAATACTCTTAAGTTTTTTTAAAATTACAAACCAATTAAGAAAAAAATTGCTATTTGTTACTTTTGGGAGGGTCTAAATCTTTAATTATTACCGTTTCTCTTTCACCCTGGAAAAATATTATTATTACTTTTATTTCCAAGTCTGTAAGATAATACGTAAAGTAATATATACTATATAATAATAATAATAATAATAATAAAGAAATAAAATAAAAATACATCACATATAAAAATAAAATGAAAATTCTTGAATAAAAACATATCAAACTTATCAAATATATTAATTAATTATATTAAAAATAATTGTTCAACAATACTTGTCTAGTTTAAAAAACCAATAGATAATTTTATCTTTTTGTCTCTATTTTACCTTTGGCGTTTAATAAGGAAAAAACCTTATCTGCATAGAGTGTTTATACTAAACTAGTGCAATTTCCATTATTATGTGATCTAGTAAAGTAAAACACATATTAAATAATTAAGATTAAGTAAAATTAACTGTAAATTTAAATACATAATGTGCATATATTGAATTGATGTATACACCCAATGCAGATAAATTCTACCCAAACTATTCAATATATAATACGCCAAAATATTTAAATTTAATACATTCAAAGGAAAATCTAGTAATATTATCCATATTATTAATTAATCCCTCTGTTCAACAATATTTATCTAATGTATTATTTAGAAATGTTCAATAATTTTCTTATCCATTTTATGAAAATAAGTAAATAATTTTACACTTAATTCTTTATTTATTTTCATCATTAATTATAGTCAATTTATTATAATATTTAATTTCTAATTTATTCATATCATAGTAAAATTATCTTTTTCATTTATTTGAATAGTGAATTATTTGTGTAATAAAGTATTTGTTGATAGCCACCCCCACCACCAAAAGAGAAAAAGAGCACATGATGGAGTAGTAGTTTAGATGGATAAATAAATGATGTTATTCATTATTTTCTTGATAACCAGCCAATGTTACCTGATATGAGGATATTTCATGGAAATTCCAATTCCAACTTGCAAAATATATTATTATATCCAAACAAAAATAAAAAATACTCATTGACTCTTTTGGAGTGTCTCTGTGTATTGGCTACTTTCTTCTCTCTAGATTTTCTCTCTCTCTATCCTCAACTCTATATGTGTATGTGTGGAGCCCAAAGCTGGTCCTATGCTTTGCTGGCTTCAAGCTCTCCATTCTTGATTTATAATATAATGGGGGTTTTCTCTTCAAAGAGTTTCACTTGGTCCAATGGAAACAAATAACTCAAAACACTAATTGATAACTCCTTTTCACTCTTTTTTTTTTATTTCATCACAATCTTAAATCTTCAAGAAAAGTGAGAAAAAATACAAAAAGGGTTATCAAAATCAAACCCCACTTCAGTTTTTGCTTTGATTTGATGGATCCACAGATCTAATACTCTTTCACTTTCAGATCTTCCATTTCCCATAGTAAAGGTAAGTTTTTTCATATACCCTTATCTTTAATTAGTATTTGTGTGATTCTTGAAATTTTGGAGATCAAGAAAGTTGGTTTCTTTATTTGATGTAAAACTGGCTGACCATAGACAGTTCTTTGTTGAAAAAGTGATTTTGACTACTTCAAAGTTCCTATATTTTTTTTATTGATGTTGAATTTTGGTATTGGATACTTTGGTTTCTTAGTTTTATAGTAAAGGTAACTTCTTGATGTGCATTTTGGCTTATTTATATGCAACTTGCAAGACTCTGTTTTATTGTTAATTTTATTCTTTTCTTCAGCTTATTGTAACTTGGTTGATGATATTGTTTTTATAGATTTGTACTTGCTTTGAGGAGGAACCTATGCAAAGTTTAGGTTTATTTAGTGTGTCCTGTTAGATGTGGAGAGTTTAGATGGTGTATTGGAGGAGATGAGGTATGTTATCTGGATTAATGAACTACTTGAGGGCTTGTTTTCAGCCAAGGGCCAATCGACACGTTCATACAGGTTCTGATGCCAGTGGACGTCAAGATGGGCTACTATGGTACAAGGATACAGGGCAACATTTTAATGGAGACTTCTCAATGGCTGTAGTTCAGGCTAATAATCTATTAGAGGATCAGAGCCAAGTTGAATCAGGGTGTTTGGGATTGAATGATTCAGGTCCTTATGGTACCTTTGTTGGAATTTATGATGGACATGGTGGCCCTGAGACTTCAAGGTTCATCAATGATAACCTCTTTCAGCATCTCAAGAGTAAGTTTTTATAACCTGTTCGAAACAAGTCATTCAATTTTTTTCAGTTTCAGGGGGAATAAACAATACTATTTCGATGGTTCACAATGAGGTGAGCTAAATCTTGTCTTTTTACTTCTCAAAATTGTTGAATTCGAGGAGTCTTAAGTATTAGCTTCTAAGGATTATTTAACAATAATTGAAAGTTGAAGTGGCCCTTGGGGCTTTGACTTAGTGATAAGAGCACAACGCGTGATGTGTGGTTAGGAGCACGTCATGGGTGCAACTCTGGCACAGACGCAAGCCAGCTAATTGAGTGGAGATGAGGAAAAAAAGGGGGGGGGGGTCCATTATCCATATAGTTTCGAAACCGTTGTTATGTTCTAGGGTTTCACTCAACCACTTGGTTCAAATATGCAGGGTGTACATCTGACCAGCAAACTATGTCTGTGGAGGTGATCCGGAAGGCATTTCAAGCCACAGAAGAGGGTTTCCTCTCTATTGTCACAAGGCGATGGCCAACACAACCTCAGATTGCTGCTGTTGGATCATGCTGCCTTGTTGGAGTAATCTGCAGTGGGACATTATATGTTGCCAACCTTGGCGACTCTCGAGCAGTCTTGGGGAGGCTTGTCAAGGCAACTGGAGAGATTATTGCTATACAGCTTTCTGCAGAACACAATGCAAGTATTGAATCTGTAAGGCAGGAAATGCAGTCTTTGCATCCAGATGACTCGCAAATTGTAGTTTTAAAGCACAATGTTTGGCGTGTGAAGGGTATTATACAAGTAAGATCTTCTTTGCATTTCTAAGCTTCTTCTGTTTATGTTTTCCAGCTCTCAAGTATTTTTGATGCTTTTATGATTTAGTATTCTTTAAATAGCAATTCACAAATTATGTTTCTTAGCAAGGAGGATCATCAGAGACTTTGAATATTGTTGTTGCTCCTTAATTAGTTGGTATTCTCTTGTACTTGTATATAAGCTTGTGATGGTTCTGCTTTTGACATTATTATTCTTTGTAGTAACTATACTAGCCTTTGTCGTCTCCTACTACATCGATGAAAGGTGGCTACCTCAACTGAATAGCATTTCAAAGTTGAAGATCTTTTTTTCCTTCAATTGGAGGATCTTTGTTTGCTCTTCCGACTCTTAATATTTAAAGCTCTAATTTCTGCTGGCACCAGAGTATTGATTATTCAAGAACCAATATACATAGTATGCTCTGAAGGTCATGCTTCTCCTCTCTTTGTTCTAGTATTAGCTTGAGTGTTGAGGCATACTTGAAACTGGAATCTACCCATCTTGGTGTGATCTATATTTGCAGCGTGCTTTGCGTTTTGTTCATTTTCAAATTCCAGCAGTGTTTAGCCGTCTTGTGTTCCTGATAATAGAAGCGCAAGGACAAAATTGGGTTTGTTAAGTTCCATGTCTTGTGTTTCTCATGTCTAGAATATCTGATCTGATATTTTACTATGATTCCCTCAACCCAAGAGATGTATATGATGATAATTCTTGTCCAATGCTTGAAATGGTCTTGCACACTTGCTGTTACTCTTAAATTTTGGTATATTACCCTTGATATGAACTATGACAGTCTTTCTGTCCAAATCATATATCACATAAATATGTAATGAACGATAAAGCTCTCCTTTTGCGAATGTTAGCAACATAGGTTAGTCAAAATGGAAATATGAACCTTTTATTTCTTAAAGAGACGAACTATTGTATAGCAATTCTTTAAACATTAGCAGCCCTTATAGAGACCTTCATTACAACAGAACTTCTGTATGACCTTCACATTTGTTATGGGGAAGCACTAAACTAGTTTAGTTTCCATGAGGCGTGCCATATATTTATGATAGGCTGATGTTCAAAAGCAATTTCAATCTTTTGGAAACATAGATCCTTGGCCATTAATGGAGGAGAATACTATTAGGGATTTCATTTACTTTGTCTATTTTGGTTGTTGCATGGCTCATAATCTGATGATCTGTGTACTTCATCTTGCAGATCACAAGATCCATTGGTGATGTGTACTTAAAGAAAGCTGAATTCAACAGGGAACCGTTGTACGCTAAGTTTCGGCTCCGTGAATCATTTCAAAGGCCCATATTGAGCGCAGATCCAGCTATTTTGGTGCACCCGGTACAACCTCAGGATCAGTTTATTATATTTGCCTCGGATGGTCTCTGGGAGCACCTAAGTAACCAAGATGCTGTTGACATTGTACAAAATCACCCACGCAATGTAAGAGATCTCGTTTGATACATGCTTTTGCCATTTTCTTAGTTTTTCGGTGATTCTAATTTCTACCTATAGGGAAGCACTTTTTCATTTTAAGTTTCAGGATTCGTGAAATCAATGAAAGCCTTATAGTAACATTATATTACCATAAAAGGCACATGCGTATCATCATTGCTTGGCTCTTCGATGCTCTTTTGATTGGTTGACCTCCTACTGGTGCCCTATAAATCTGATTACATCATAAAATTTCTTAAATGCAAGAGAAGTAAGATGAAGCCTCTTGCAGAATTGTAGGGCAAGGCTGCGTATTATGGACCTTGTGGTCTGGACTGTTCAGCCCTTCCTTGGATCTGTGTATATAGACCCTTATGGTCTGTCCAACAATAAAGAACTTGTTCAAATCTGCAGGCACACTAGCATAGTAAGAAAAACCGATTTTGCTGCCTTTTCCTCAGAAGAGTTCCCAAGTAAAATTCCGAGTTTGTTTGCTCTAGATAGATGTAATACAAAGCTAATATATGTTGTGAACAGAAGAAAAACAGTTGGACCAAACTTAAGCTCTTCTTTGCCACTTGGCAGGGGATTGCGAAAAGGCTAGTAAAAACTGCATTGCAAGAAGCAGCAAAGAAAAGGGAGATGAGGTACTCAGACTTGAAGAAAATTGATCGTGGAGTACGTCGACATTTCCATGATGACATCTCCGTTGTGGTAATATTCCTCGACTCAGATTTTGCGAGCAGGGCTAGCTCTGGGAAGGTACCAAACGTATCTGTAAAAGGTGGCGGGATAAGTCTGCCTCGAAACACACTTGCCCCAACCTAATCGTGGTGCGTGTGACTCGATGAAGCTCTCTTTCAAATGATGTTGTACTATTTTCTTGTGAATACCAGGTAGCTTCTGAAAAGATAACAGCAGGCCTGCAATTTTAATTTTCTTTTAAAAAATTAATGTACACCTTAGTTTAACTTGAGACTAATACAAATTTAGTTCCTATGCTCAAGGGACTTGAAAAAAAGAGATCTACACCATTAGGCTTCTTTTGCTTCCTCTCAAACCTTTTTTCATTTGGATTTTGTAAATTATGTGACCTTGCTGCTGTAAATGTTTTTATGCCTTTATTATTCTTTAATCTCTATTGCTAAGTGTCAAGTGGAGTGATGGTTTGAATTTAACTTGTATGCTTTGATCGTATAATTCTTATATGACGTAGCAGGTAATATGTCCTATTTTCCCCTCACATTCTCACTGTTATGTGTCCCCTTTTTTTATGTGATCTAACTATTTTACGTGATCAGTGTATAGAAGTTAAACTTGGCCTTTCCGTTGTAGATTTGTGCATCATTCATGGTGAAGCCATCCAGACAGCTTTTAATTAAAATAAAACATCTTGATTAGTTACATTTGCATGTATAAATTGTAGTAGCTTGCTCTTTTGTACTCTAAATTTGAATATCTTTGTTTAATTTGTCATCTTAGTTGTATAGTATAGTGATCAAATAGTGTTGGTGTATGAATAACAGTATCTTATTATTTTAACCAAAAAAAAACACCATATTATGGTCAAATGAATTACATAAATGAGTACCAAACACAAATTTAAAATAGTCGGACTAACTTCAAAGTCCAAATTAATTGGCAGTGGGTAGGGAATACGAAACAAGTTACAAACTGTTTCTAACTTTAGAATTGTCAAAATCTATTTTCCATTTCTTTTATTTAGTGGCAAGAAAGGGTCAGGCGGTTAGTTCAATTTTATTTAATTTCGATTTGAATTTTTGGTTTTCGATTTTGAAAAGAATATGCATCTTATTTGAATTATTCAAATTCGCTTTCAGATTTTTGCAAACTTTGATTGGATTTGATTCAGTCTAATCAATCACAAGAAGACTTCAAACATTTATATTGCCAGCATACATTGTTGCTACTAAACATGACTATTTAGTAACATAGAATTATTTTTAAAAACTTTATTATTTGTTGCACCAAAAAAGTCTCAACTCTGAATTCGAACACCAAATGAAGAATCAACCATTTGGGAGGGAAAAAAGCAAACCCAAGCAGTCATTTTCCTTAATTTATATTGGAAAAATTGTATGAACTAACAAATTATTAATTCAAATTGAATGTTATAGTCATAGTTTTTTTTATTCAAACATTTCATGTTTTTTGCCATCGCATTTTGTAACGACTCTCTTAGTCGTTTTATGAATTTTAACCATTTCCTTTTTTATATTAACCTTTTCAATAGCTTTTGTAAATAATTTATGACTTAATAAAGGATTATTTTGTTGCTAATAATAATGGAAAAAAATAAAAAATAAATAAATAAAAGGAAATAAAGTCTAAAAGCCCTGATTGTTGAGACTTGAAATAGCGGTAGATGAAAAAAAAATAAGAAGAGAAGAACGAAGAACAGAGGAAAAAGACCGAACTCAGGTAACAATCAAATAGTACAATTGATTTTAATTGTTTTAAGTTAATTAATTATTGAATGTATGGAATCTTGTGATATTTTTTTTTAGGGATTGGGTGAGTAAGCATGTGATGTTTCCTTTTAATTCAATGGTGTACCAATATTATTGCTACGTGTTGGGTGGCTAAGTGGAGAAAAGATGATCATTGGCTAATGGTAGTAAATTGGTGAGTAATAGGAATTTTAATTCAAGAGTTACAGTTGATTCACGAAGCAGACTAGTTTTAATATTTTTCAGATTTTAGTTTTCAATAATTATCACATTATAAATAAATTTTGGGTATATTGAGAGGGTTAATTAAATATTTGGTTTATTATATTGTATGAAATTATTAGGATGGTATTGTTGGAAGAAATTAAGACTTAACCCTAAGCTTGAAACTTAGGAATTTGATTATAAAATTGGGTGAATTTTTGGGTCATGGCTAAACACATAGTAACATGAGTGTTGTTAGTGTCGAAAACTTATTATGACCATGTAATTGAATAGATTGATTGGTTTGGAAGCTCAACGAAAGGGGAAAAACCCAAATCATGGAGTGATTGTTCGTTTATTCAAGGCAAGTGGATTTGTAAACTCTTGTTAAGTGTATGAAATGCGTGTATTTTTTTGTGGTATATGTTTGGGAGTAACGGGATTGGTGATGGGTTGACTTGTCCATATTGATTAACTCTAATGATGAAAAAAAAAGAATAACAAAAGGCAATGTGATTAATTATTTATGTGTGATGTGTTGAGAAAGGGTTGAAGGCTTGTTGAATCATTGTTGATGTAACTTCATGTTTGTGTGGTTGTGAACTGTGCGATGTTATGAAAATGGTCATCTCCTCATTATTTGTGTGAACTTGTCATCTGCATTATTTTGAGGCATTGGTTGTGACAAGTGTTATGTGCATTGAGAAAGAATGGGTACTTAAGAGGATGTACCATTTCGAGGGACATATCGCGCGCCGCGATGGATACTATATTTCGAGAGACGTATCGCGCGCCGTGATGGTTACTATTATCGAGGGTCGTGTCGTGCGCCGCGACAGATGCATGGACAAATATGTCCCTCATGGGTCCCGGACTGAGAGACAGCGGGTATGTATCACTAGGTCAGTCATGCATCATTATACTTGACATTGCATTCCATTGCATTGCACAAACTTATCATTAGTGAACTTGATATCGTATTTTGCTGATCTTCTGATTGCCTTTCTGCGAAACTTGTGATTGATCAATATTGAGCTTGTTATTGCGGATATATAATTTGTTGAAGTATTGTTGTTGAGGATATGTAATTTGTTGAAGTGTTGTTATTGAGAATATGTAATTTGTCTATGTGTTGTTGTTGAGCTACGTGCTATGTAAACTGTAAGCTGTTAGGTTGGGTTGATTCTAATGTAGGTTGTAGTTTTGGAGATTCGATTGGGGGTGGTAGGAGTACCCGTATTTTATCCCCTTAGCTTGTGTTTAGACGTTTTACTTGCTGGGTACCGTGTGGTTTGGTACTCAACCCTTGCTACTACAATTTTTTTTGTAGGTTACTAGCCCGGACTTTGTGATATTTCTCTTCTCCTTGTCTGAGGTTTCTTGGAGATTTCAAAGGTAGCTGTTTGTCGCCTCAACGTACTTTCTTTCTCCTTAGTTATGACCTTGTTCTATTCTAGAAACAAGTTCATTTGAGACTAGCGTTTCTTTTGAATCAATTGTAATACTTTAGAGGCTTGTACACGTGACAATCAAATTTTGGGGGTGTTTTGAATTGATTATGAAATTTCCGCATTTTATTGTAATGATTGAATTTTAGGCTGAGTTGTCTTGGTGGGATAAGACGAGTGTCATCACATCCATTTTTGGGTCGTGACAACATGGTATCAGAGCCCCAGGTTCATAAGTCTCACGTGTGTACAAGTTGAGTCGAAATAAAGTGTCGGGGATTGGTACAGAGACGTCTGTACGTATCTTCGAGAGGCTATAGCGACTTTTAGAAAAAAATTTCACTTTTTGAATCTCTATCGTGCGTCTTTGGTCCAATTTGATTCTTATCATTTCACTTCATTCACTCTCAGGTGATTACTCGGGCGTGGTTCCTCACGTGAATAGTTGATATCGTGTATGGTTTGAATGTAAGATTTGATATTAAGGTGTGAGTAAGATATTAAGATGAAAAAGATGTATGGTCAGATTTGAAATGTTCAATTTGAAAGGATTTAGTTAGGTGATGGCTTGGCGATAATTCTCTTGGAATTACTAAATGATGAGGTTGAACAATGCTCTGATGAACTTAATGAATGTGTTATTTTTTTTTGGTTAGTTTTTCCAATGGAGAAATAGTATTTGTGTGGTATATGTAATATCTCTAGTATAATAAAATATTGCAACTATGGAAAGTAAAATTAGTAAAGTTGTTATAATATGTATCGTTTGCTTAACGAATGATAAGAATGTTGTTGCACCAACTGAGGCAAAATCTCTTTTGTGATTATATAGATTGTGTGAATATTCGAGAAGGTCATGACACGACTACATAGTATTGATGCTTACTTGATTAGAGTTATGGAGTGTGTTACTTCTACTATCGACATGACCAATGAAATAATGAATAATGCTTTGAAATAGAGATCAAATAGATTTGATAATGTACTAAAATCATTTAACGAATCGAAATATGTGAGATTTGGGTACAATCTTCTCGACAAGTATGATGTGTTCTAGTGGTGGATATAACAAATTTTCACGATGTGTTACTAGTGTTATATGAAAAAGGATACGTCGATTGTTAAGTGCAAATACTAACTAGTTAAGGAATTGTCTATTGTATCATATGTTCGTATAATGAGATTCGATGATGCATTCACATTTAAGAAATCAACTAGGTTGTTATTGCAAATATTTGAGTTTAAGCAACGTGTATAAGAGAGATTTTAAGGATTTTTGATACGGTATTAATGTGTTAAGTTAAAAAGTGTATCTTGAGGGTTCTAAATGAGGATTGTTTACATCCCTACTCTGTCGAAATAGGGCGAAACGTCGCGGCAACTCGAAAATAATTAATTGATTCAATTTTAACAAAGTTTAAAAATAAACGAGTTTTAAAAAAGAGTCGCCACCTAATTTTAGGAAAACTAGGAAACCGTTAAATGATCTACGAAACCAAATTGGTTCTAGGTAAGGAGTTCAAGTTATTCCGAATGGAAGGAGTTAGGCACCCTTCGAAATCCACAATTGTGGTCCCTGACTGAATTCATTTTTTTTTCAAATTGAGGAAGAATATAAAATAATGTACAGATATAATAAACATGCAATATACAAAATAAAAACAAAATAATAATCGGTCTAAAGTTTGCCCAACAGTTAGAATTGCAGGTAAATCTCCCATTCTTTTTTTTTAAAGATTGAATTAAGGTAATTCCTACAACTTCAAGTGGTTCCTCAAATATACTTAAGGATCAACAAGATCCGTTCATCTTGTATCAAACAAAGATTTTGAATTGTATCAATCCTCATGTTTCAAGTGCCCTCACGACAAAGGCTAGTCCTATTTCACACATATTTGAAACATTTGACTATAGGACATTTTTCAAACTGCACTCACACTTACAAGAATGTTCAATGTATACAACTGTGATACAATATGCTTGACCCTTATGTAAATCTCCACTAATGTGAGAACATT